TTCATTCATTCATTCATTCATTCATTCATTCATTCATTCATTCATTCATTCATTCATTCATTCATTCATTCATTCATAATTTTTCTACTCCACCTTTCTCCTTAAAAAGGACCATCACTAAAAGACAATATTTAAAGCTAAAAACAGTAAGTAAACAGATACTCAAAAGGATCAAACAAATACCACACTAAAAAATGATAAACAAAAGCAACAGCAAAAACACATTCAAATCAGGGAGGCACAATAATCCATTTGAAAACCTCATTCAGGCAGGCATAATAATCCATTTGAAAACCTCATTCAGGCAGGTAGTCGTTGAGAGACAGCTTGCCTGAAATGAAAGGTCTTCGTCTGTTTACAGAAGGGCAGCAAAGATGGGTCTCCGATGGAAGGGAGTTCCAAAGCCTGGGAACAGTGACAAATCCCATGTCCCCACCAAACGCACCTGTGAAAGTGGTGGGACTGAGAGAAAGGCCCCTCCTAGTGACCTTAACACCCGAGCAGGCTCATAAAGGGAGTGGGACTGAGAGAAAGGCCCTCCTGGTGACTTTAACACCCGAGCAGGCTCATAAAGGGAGATGTAGTCCTTGAGATAGCTTGGATCCAGCTGTTTAGGGATCAGGTATATCTGTAGTGGTGACAGTAGAGTGACTACATGTTGATTGATAGCAGTGTGGAGGAAGGGATTTTGTGCAAGTTTTAACATGTTCCATTTTTAATTAGCATAGAGATGCATGTGAATGGGTCATGAGGAAAATAACCTGTTCCTCTGGCCTCTAGTTTCTTTATTCTGTGATTTTACATCTTCATCTGGAGAATGAGGCAGGTTAAAACCTCAAATTATCCATCTAAACCTGGAGACTAGTCTGTAGATATCCAGGAGAGCTCTTGTGGTTGCTAAGCAACAATGTAATTCACTTGCCTATCTCTTTAAGATAACCAAATTTATAGTACGTATCTGATATCCAACTTTTTGGGCAAAAAGAAATTCCAAAATGACTTTAAAACATGCCAAGACATCAATGTTTTTAATGGAGAAAAAGCACATTTCGACCATACCTTTAAACTTTTTTTTATGAGAGTGTCTAAAACTGTTGGCCCACCAAGCCACAATCTGCCAGTTTTTCCATTGTGATGTTATTGCTAATCTTCCAACCACACACATAAAGATAACCAAGCTTTTAAACTTACAATTTAAATTGATAAACATAGAAAGGACGCTTAAATCAGGGGAAATGTTTATGGACTGCTCAGTTATTTTTTTCCCCCATTTCCTTGAATATCACATCTTACTCACCTTAAGTGTGTTCTCAAAATGTCCTCGCTCTGATTTATGGAACAAGATTACAACCAATGTTTGACATTGCCTATCTTTTCAAAATGTTTTCCCAAGAAAAGTTTATTTAATCGATTCGAGCACTTATAAAGCTGAGGCACACAAAATACCTCAGCTGCAGAGGAGGCCATTTATTCTAAATGAAAGTGGAGAGGAGAGGTTTTTAACCACCCACACAATGTGCATCCTTGTACTCACATTATACTGTTGTTGTTTTCCTCCTCCACCACCTATAGAAACTATCAGGGCCATTAGAAAGTGAGGGCTCTGTTTGAAAATGTGAAGAGTGTCTTTGGATTAATCTTGCCCAAGTGTTGCCTAACCAAAGCTAGCAATTTTATATCACAAAGGGAGAAAGATGGCCACTGGAGAGGATAGCTGGTGGCTTCTGGGAGTTGTAGTCCAAAAAAGTAACTTTTCTACGTTCTTGGCTAAGCTGCCTGCTCTTTGACACCAAAATTAGCCTCAGCTTTCTAAGTACCCTTATAGATAGGTTGTGTAATTTAGTTTTTGTAGTTGGAATGTCACTTTGAAACATACCATAACCAGATCTATAACCTTCAGTGTGTTCTTGGCTAAGCTGCCTGCT